CTTACGTACCCAAGATATGAGCTATGGGCCTATTGGCTGTATGGTCCAGCGATTGCATCACACGGTGAGTAGAAACAGAAAGTGACACATTGGAAAAGCGAGTTTAGCACTTCCTCTGTTAAACTTCTGTTACAATCACCCACTGCAGTTGTGATTTTTTACTTTACACTTTACACAACCGCCATTGAAGCGCCGTCAATGAGTGGAAACCTTTTTTGTAAGCTATTGGCGACGATCATTTCAGTGTCACAGCCCTATACAACACTGATTCAAGGTCTTCTTCTTTCTGGTTGTCAAAACTCAAGAAACATTTTATACTCAAAGAATTTCTGGTTCCGATTTGGACGATGTCTAGTTATTTAATTTCATTTACGGTTACACTATTAGACTATATTATTGCACTTGCGATTAATTAAATCCGTTATGTAAGAAAAACGTTTTTAATCTCACTTGGTTGGGATTTGCTTTCAAAACGTGATTCGAAATAGTTGCGGTATTTGTAAATAACATTTGTAAACATGTCATTGACAGCTAGAAAAAATAATCTTGATCCGAACAGCTGTTCGTTATTTCATAGACGATTATGTGATAAAAATTGAACGAAATTTTGACAAAAATCGCACAAAACTGCATTTTTGAACGTCCGTAATTTTATTTACAAAGTAGTGAGGCTATATTTAAATCACTAAAGACACTCTCGCCAATCCAGTGAATACATTAAAATGACTTGGATCTTGATATGTACTCTGGTTTTCACGGAGAAGATTGCGTAAAATGCCATCTTGAGTGTTACAGACAAAGGGACAGACAGACAGACAGACAGACAGAAATTGAGATAAGGCTCGTTTCTGCTTCTTTAATGTATAAAACGTAAAAATAACCTAAAAGTATATAGTTCTGAGCAATGTACAGACAAAACTCTAATTTTATTTATATAGATTTTCACAAAATTTAGACGGTTTTAGGGTAAGAAATCTATCACCTCCACGTCTTGATCCTACCATTAAAACATAGCTCAACAGCTGAGATTTTCCAAGACTCCAATCAGCTGCAGCATTTAAGCAAAAAAGTAGTTGTAGAACTTTCCCTTAAACCACCTAAATATTCAGTATTTAGTGGAGGATTTAAGAGATTTATCATACTTTTAGGGATCAGCCTATGTAGAGGTTAGTTCTACAGTATTCGGTTCATACTAAAGGTGTTTTGTTATTTACCTACGATTTGTGTCGTGTTTTTTAATCAACTTTAAACATATTTTAACCATAGCAATTAAATTGTAAACTAATGCTTGTATAATGGTATTATAACCAAAGTTGTAAGCACAAATCATAAACTCTACCCTAAATAGGAGAAGAATGTTAGTCGACATCAGCACATTCAAACTCACCAACATAAAACAATCATCAAAATAGACTTCACATTTTACAATATTCGTAAAATGTTTTACTCCCTTAGTAGATTGTATCCTTATGGATCAGCTAAAGACAATTTTGATGTTATTTCTCTCCGGTGCACCATAGAGGTCGTGTTTTGTTTATTTGTTTCTTGATATTTCAGTCATTTAAAACCCCGTTTAACCAAATAAAACGATCTAATAAAAAAAACAATAACAAGTAATACTACAAAACACTAAAGCACAAATCATAAAATTAGCCCTAAAATGATATAAACAGAATTTCGTCGACACTATCGATCAGTGTCACCAACATGAACTAGACAAGGAACCCGAGCTTCAAAATTTACAATGATATGATAAGTGAAGTTAACCTGTGATGGTTAGTTTATGTTTTAACCCAGTAAGAAAACTTCTGTAGAGGAGTGACTCCAATTTAGCCAGTGTCAATGTTCTGCCCAAACTAACAGCAGCAGCGCACACATTGGACGCAAATGGAGCGGTTTTTCGTTTGTTTTTGTTCGGCAAACAGAAATTCATCAAACATCTGTTTGAAGCTTAAAATAGCAGAGACGTCGTCTGCATACAGACTGCTAAATGTCAGGCTTGCCAACCGAATCGAAGTTTGGTTTTTTTCGGTTAGTAGTTAATATTTGAATGTACTAATTATTCTAAATGAATTATTGAAAAAATGGATAAATTGATTACAGTTGTCATTGGACGGATGAAGAGGCACTAATCATAAAAAAGCTGAATTAACCTGAAGTAAAATAAAGCACAAATAGTATAGTTGCTTGCAAAACGATTTTGCTAATTACTGAAATATATTAGCCCGGTAACAATGTTTTGGTAGCCTATTTCTTCTACGTCTTGGTAAAGCCCAACATTGAGTTTTTTTTTAAATTACATATAGGTCCAAAATTGACTACGCTGGGATCGAACTAGTAACCTTCACATTAGAGGCGAGTACTATAAGACCACTCGGTTACAAATTTAATATATTCAACCCACTTATATTTCCCCATTCACATATACAATGCATAGACTACCAAGCAACAGGGCACAATCACTTAACCACTTGACTTTATTGTCACATAAAAAAATATGGACCGTTTTCCAGTTTCGAAAATAGTAAACTAAAACCGGCCCATTTCTACAATATTTTATTTTACAAATAACTTATGACATCCTTTGTTAAGGCATCTAGAAACAACCAATTTAAGAGTTTCATTTACGAAGTTTAAAACCTTCCAGATATCTACCCTGTATTTCTTCCTATCTAGTTTCTTCTCATTTAAAGGGTGAGACAGAACTTCATAACCTCTATTATGTCGTCGCAGCGACACACTCTGGCGATGCCGTATGAATATTTAATGCTTGACACAGGAACACACACGTCACACGACATACGCCATACGTCAATACATCATACGTCCGGTCGATACGCTATCCGCTATACGGTACATCGCATACCGCGCACAGCTGATATTGCAATCAGCTGATTACATTGTTGGACAAATAGTTCAGATTCTATAGGAATAATAGAGGCATTTTGCACTATCTGTGCGTCTCATCGAATAGGGTTTGATTTAAGTTAAATACAATACAAATAATTTAGTCAGGTTTTAAGTAGGCCTATGGCTTCATCATGACAGTAGCTAATACAGTATATTGCAGATTGTCTACCTTCTGTCTTTCATTATTTTATAGATTTGACAAAACTACTTTGAAAAGTTTAGTCCTGTCTTTTGTTTGGGGTTTGCCATTATTTTAGTACCTAACTATACCTAATTATATCGACAAACATTATTTGCTGGTTAATTCCACTATACAAGACTAATTATTTACAAAAACGTAACAAAATGTGATTGGAATTTGCCATTATTTTTAGTACTCGTGAATAATAATTTCTATGAACATTATTTGCTAGTTAACTTCGCTATACAAAGACTACTGTAATTATTTACAAAAAACATAATAAAATGTTGTTCAATATGATTTTTGTGCAAACACATAAAATAAGGTCAGGCTCAACGCTTGGCTTCATGCTTTTAAGATTAAATACAGATTCGTCTTTCAAAACTTTGAAACCCCATAAAAATATATTCAAAATATCGTAAATTTGCATCCAAATATCTTGATTTGTTCCAAACAAACTTAAAGATCCAGTTTTCAGAAAAAAATTATGAGTTCATTGGATGGAACCAATCATTTTATCCACGAAGATACTTTCAGCGGTGCTTTTCAAGAGGGGCTATCCGTCAACAGATCAGCAATTCAGACCAGTCAATCAATCAAATGGTGTGCCTCACTGCTTCCAGTAACTAATCATTTTGCGCAACAGCACTCAACAAACAATTTGTACTATTATTTTTATGAGTTAGTGTAGAATTTTTTCACAACAAAAGATTTTTGTTTTTGGTTTAGATTGATTTGAGTTATGTTCAAAAATATGTTCTACATATACCATATTGTTAACAAATTATTCTTTTGTAAAGTAAATTATTATGAGTTAGTAAATTTTATTGTGGTCTCAAGAGATATGAAAATAAAAAAAGATTGTTTAGGTTTTCCGAATATACTACAACAGTAATATTTGAAAACAAAGTTTAACTTGAACTTTAGGGGAGGAGATCATTAAAATGTAATTAGTCAACGTGCTAATGGTAGAACAAATACATATGATAATTTGTTTTGTAATTAATCTTTTAAAGAACAATTTTACCATGAGAGTATTTTCTATGTAGGCCAAGACCTAATTATTGCCACGAGTTTTATGTAAATGAGAGAGTTAGCTTAATCGGTAAACTGATAAGTTTTTAATGAGGATTATTATATGATTAGTTTTCATTTTTATATAATCATTACAGTTTCGTCGTATTATAAATGACATTCAAATTACTGTACACTAAACCAGTAAAACCGATTTTTAGGGAACGAACTAATTACATTAAAAACATATTTAATGTAGCTATAAGTGTTGTATTTTATGAAAATCAATTTGTCCGTTTAATTTGAAAGGATTGATATTAAAGACTGACAATGGGTGTACCTTTGTACCTTCTAGCACAAATTAAAAGGGTATATATCTACAATAGGTATACCCCTAGCCCATACTAAAACCCTTCTTACGATTGTTTAGTTTACGAAACTTTTAAAACATTAAATCACTTCTAAAATGTAATTTCATCGCACGAATTTAGTGTTATGGTACACACCCTTAGTGACTGACTGGATTGAAATGCATGTCAAGTTTTCTAATACTTGTGAAACAAGGTAGTCTACAAGGTTTACAATTTTCCACAAATTATGTGTTTTTACGATCATATGCTGTTCCCCACTAATCTTATATAATATGTTTGTCATTAACAATCAATTGCAATAGAGTTTCCTATTGAATGTAGCACCCCTCGCCCGCATTTTCACACATTCTATTAACCAGATAAGTGCGGTGACCATGAAACGTGTTTACTTGACCTACATATCTCATATCGACCGCGCCGTCCGCACCCTGGCTCGATACACCCCTCTCTCTCCCTCGCCCTCTTATCACATTCCTATACTACTTATACTATCACTACTACCACTGCAGTAGGTATGTACTCACCTTCACTGCAGCCTGGTTCTCCTTATCCAACAGGAACTCCATGGACTTGGCTCTCGAGTCACTCTCCCTAGAATCCTCCCTTTGTACCGGACACGGTTTCAACGCATTCCTCCCATCGTCCAAGTTCAACAAACTCCTAGTTTTTTTGCTAGCCGGGGCGACAGTGTCGGAGTCGATGTCTGTCTCTAACAGTCCGCGGGGGTTGACGGCCATGGCGGGACTGGGTGCGGGCTTGCGTGGAGGCGGCGACGCGGCCGGCTCGGGGGTGGCTGGGGGTGGTTTGGGTTTCTCACTCGCGTTGAGTTTCTCACTAGCGATGAGTTTCTCACTCTCGCTGAGTTTCTCACTGGGAGCGTGAAGAGGGATGATTTTAAAGTCCTCATCGCGTTCGCGCACATTCACTCGGTTTTGCGTCGACGTAGAACTATTCACCAGGGTTTTCTTCTTTTCCTTCTTGTTTTTGTCGCGACCGCTCAGACGTCTGAACGAGAATCTGTGGAAGAACCCGCCGAGGCCGGTGTGTTTCTTCTTGCGCTCCTCCATGCTCGACGGCTCGCTCGACACTGACGTTGACGCGAGCTCCGCCAGCCGACCCGCGGGCCCCACGTGACTCCTGGGCGGGGCTTTCTCCTTCTCTAGCTTCAGTCGGTGCAACTCCTCTATGATCCGGCGCCGCTCCGTGTCCTGCTCCGGCGCTCTCCGTGGAGGTGACGACCGCAACCTCTCCACCAGCTGCTCGAACGGCGGCGTGGACGCGGACCTCTCGCTACTCGTCACCTCTTCCTCCTCGCTGCTAGTGTCCTGCCAACTGACCTCCGACACCACGGGGCTGAAGTGGACACCCTTCACACTGTTGCTGTGTGACAAGTTGACGAAGCTGGTAGTTATCTGTATATTACTCGCTCGACTCCCCCTCGAACTCCCCGTAGTAGCACTGAGTCGCGACGCACTATCGTACTTGACTCTGGACAACGACACCGTACTCTGTCTTAAACTCACTTTTCTCTCTCCCGCGAGAAACTCCTCCGTAGCGGAGTACAGGTTAGGTGTGCTCGCCACTGAGGAGAACCTCGACGACGATCGCGACATCTTCGTCACTAACGATTTCGTCTCCGGCACCACCTCCTCTAACTCCTCGTCCTCTTGGCGCTGGACATAGTTGATGACGAGCGATTTACTACCGAACCCGTACAAGCCAGGAGCGTCTCGCTCGCACTGCGCGGGGTCCGCTAGATCAGGGGCACTTTGCCAGTTGACTCGATTATATTTAGCTCGCGCGTCACTAGAGTCCCAACTCCCCTCGTCGTTTCTCTGAGTCGTGTACTCGTCCGCTTGGCCGCGGGTCAGGTTGCAGGACGACATGTGTTCTCCGAAGCCGCTGTCTTCGCTGAGGTTCTCCGCGGATCGCTCGGGTCTCTTAGCATTGCTGTCTTTACTCTCCTCTTTAGGTTTCTCACTCTGCAGGTCCGCATGTGTCCTACACGCCACAGGAGGAGCTTCTGTTAGGCACTCCACAGTCTTGTATATCCCCCTGGGCATGGGCGGCGGCTCAGTCTCCTCTGGGGGTAGCGAAGTGTTGTTCAGACTCTGCGACAGTTCCCCGCTCAGGATGCTGTTCGATTGCGACTGCGTAGTGACCAGACTGTCGTAGCTACGACACGACCGGATCCCGCTGGACCGGAAGCTGCTGTTGTCGCTGCGACTCCACCGTGTGATGTCGTCATCGCTGCTGGTGACGTCACTGGTGCTGTCAGCTGATGAGCCGCTGGTGCCTTCCTCGTCCAGGCTGTCTTGAGAGCCACAGAACTTCCACCTAAACATTACACCCATGCTCAACCCTCTGGAGTTATACAGTACATTGTAGTAGTGTAGATTAAAACAGCGACTAAAGGGGAAAATACGAATCATATTTTATATATACTCACGTACAAATATCACAAAAATAAAAATAAACTGTTTGTTAAATCTATAAAAAATCATAAAAGAGTTTGATAACATAAATTAACTAACAAAATCGTATACAGCCAAATATTAACGTCAATAAGTGGAGATGAATGAATATAAACGTATTTCCTACGGTAAAAAAAACAACGATATTGCAATCTTTAATAAATATTTAAAGTTTACCATTAGTGTTACAAATAGAATCAAGCACAAATAAAATAAACGCAATTATCTAACATCAGCAATATCCTAAATTTGATTTTAGACGCATTTTTAGCAATCAATACTAAGATTTCTTCAAAGCTATACGTATTACAAAAGTGCGAAACGCAGCCTACCTGCTGGTCTCCAAAGAGTCGAAGCTGAAGTTGGAAGTCCTCGAGGGAGAAGCGGGGAAAGGTTCGTTGGTGGCCGAAGTTCTAAACACATCCTCACAATGTCGCTCTAGGTTCTCGAACTGCAGCAGACTGCTGGACCGGGAGACGACGACTTCCACGTCACGGACCTCGGCGTCCCCATGGTCGTCCTCGTCATCGCGTACCCCTGGGTCGGAGTTGTGGCGGCGCCGCTTGCAAGGGACGGCTAGTTCGCGCTCGCTGCCGCTCCACTCTGAAGACTTAACTGCTACCCCTGCAACATAACATTAGAAATCAGTAACTTCTGGAAGTAGAAAGTAGGCCTTTCGTCCTAGAGGTCTCGGGTTCAAATCCCAACAATCACTGATGACTATTGTGATAATGTGCAGGGACCCTCTTGGTATAATCCGAAGTTGAACAATTCTAGGGTAGGGTGTAGCATCCATGGATGTTAAGGTGGGATATAGATCTGAGGTCCCGGGTTTAAATCATGTCAATCATGATTTTGAAAAATAAAAATTTCTGTAAAATACGATAATGCCACAAACCCGAAGGTTGTGTGTAAAATGGTTCCAGGCTAGCGTCCTTGAGATATGAAGGTAAGACTTCAAAATTGGCAAATCTGGACTGCTTTGTGAAAGATACAATAAAATCTCTTCAAAAGGAGTTTCATCACTAAGAGAAAGATGTTAATCTTATCATTAAGTTTCATGTTAATTTAAACACTTATAGAAACACGTAATTCCGTAAGCAGTTTTTTTTACACAGGCCTAAACACTGTGTTAGTTTTTCACATGAGAACAGGATCAGACTTCAGATCCCGAAATTTTCTGTATTGTAAATACAGTACAATACGTACAATACAATACAATAACATTTTTCCATCACAATGGTAAAATTACCAATGTGATGGCAAAATGTCCTCAATAAACATTTAGACAAAATATAATCAATTAATTTTTTTAAAACAAATCGGCTTGGGCGCCTGCGAACACGAGCATACTTCATAACCTCAACTGCCTTGCGGGATTTAGTCAGTACTGTTTGAAGGCGCGTTCGAAATTCGAATGCCGCATTTTAGTACAAAAGGTACAACTAGAACGACATAACCTTTTACTTCAGCGTTACACTTAATTTTTTCAAAGCATCAACAAATTTTTTATTATCTTCAGTGTTGCTTGTTTGACTTTAAAAATATGGATTCAAAAACTGATTTACATTATTCAAATTTGTATACACTACACGTACCCAGGACGGTTAATATGCTACATCAAATACGAACCAGTACGAACGATTTTGACCAGCAAAACCATCATCATGCAGAATATCAATCAAGAAGCTATTTTACGACTTAAACATTTTAAAATTTTAATAGGTAGTAAGTAGGGAGTGTTTAACTTTATAAAACAAAATTTGAATAATTTTTATTGTGTTTTCTCTAATCTTACATAACCTAAAAACGTACACAGGAATTCACAACGTATACCAGATTACGGTTTACAGTGCGTTAGTTATAACAATGTGATACGCCTTATCACCTTGGCGTGACCTTATCTCTTATCAGTTATCAGTCACCCTAACACCATGTAAGTGACAGTAGGCATGGCTGATAAGTGAAACCATGGTTGAGCCACATATAGTTTAAATGAGAGAAAAACTTCTTTCTAGTATTTCACGAAAAATGAGACTTGAGCTTTATCAACCAGGAAACATTACTTGTCTTACTTAATTAGACTATATGATATTAGTTTTACTAATTGAAATGGGGATCATGAATGCGTATTTCAACAAAAAATGTCTTATGTAGCCTTCTTTTGCTTTGCTACTGACTAAGATCAGTTGTTTCATAAGTCAGGATCATTAAAAACCCAGTGATCAAGACCAGCTGGGCCCAGTTTCATACATTCAAAAAGCTACTAACTTTTTTCAGGATCAAACCTGTGACTTTTGATTACCAGACGAGCACTATAACATACGAGCTACTCCACTAACTATATCATATGTATTGGCAAGATGTAGTGAATTCTTTATTTGAAAAAGAATCTGGTTAAATAAGCCTTTTACAAAGCGTGATACTAAATCAAAATCATATTTTCTCTCCCAGGTACCGTTGGATAGGTAGGTAATGATATTTAACAGATGCTACAGTTATCATTTCAGTTTGGCTTGGTGTACGGTGTACATGTTCATATTTGGCGGTAGCTTAATTCAACCATGTTCATTTTTAATCATAAACTGGCCACAAAATTAACACGGAAACGGAAAGACTTCTATAATTAACTTTTGAAATAGTCAAAGGCGCAATGCTAAACTGTTTTGGGATCACAAACCAGCTAATTCAAATATCGTAGAAATCTAGTATACACTGCGACTTCCTAACTATAGATTACAGTTCATCGACATAATTCATATTTATCACTACTGTACTTATCATACACCAATGTTCATCTTACCTATGCTGCAGACGTGGATGACAGATGCAGTGTCGGAGTCGCTGTCAGGCCATCCCGCGGGTCCGGAACACGATGACTCGGACCTAAGGTCATCCGAGGTCTCCTCTACTATAGTCTCCAGCAGTAGGTACTGTGAGCCGCCCACTCCGCCCCCTTGGCCATCTACAACAAGTACAGGCGGATTAGTAAGGTGAAAAAGTTTTCCAAATTTTAATGACACTGTTGACACGAAAAATAAGTTTTCACACATGATTTGTGACATAATAATGCATTTTTAATTCGTCGGTTCATTTGCCTGTCTCTATGTCTGTCTTATTAACCCATCCATCTACACATCCAAACATTCGTAAATGTATACACCTTAATCCATACATCATTCAAGTTGTCTATCATTTCATCAACCCCATCCATAAATTCATCTCACTTGATCCATCCGTCCATACAATCATCCATAAAAATCCATCCATTCATACATCCGCCCTGAATCCATCCGTCCATCTATTCATCAACCCATCCATCCATCTATACACCGTTAATCCATTCGTCCCACCAATTCGTCGACCCAACCAACACCCACCCATGTGTTTATATGCCTCCCTTAATCCATCCATCCATGTTCATCTCAAATCCATCGGTCCATTCCACATCAATTCGTCCGTCCAGCCGTTCGTCCTTATCCATTCCTTCCAATTCAAATCAATCTTATCTATGTAATTAACGATTTTTATTTATTGGGTTTTCTGTGTTAGGTTACTAATCAATATGTTGCGTACAGATCGAAAGACAATATTAATAGTGACAGTTAAAGTAAGCTAGGTAACTGAACAACATCATTGACTATACAACTCATGCATCAAAGTTCTAGAATCATTAAGTGAGCGGCCATCTGCTCTGGTGTAGTAGAAAACAAATATTTCAAAGTTAAATAATTGGATTAAAAGGACACATTCATTACTTAATCTGATGAATCAATATGATGAATGTGAGACCAAGTGTAGGGTCAAGATAAGTCAAGCGGTTGTTGATAACAGATGAAAGAACACTGTCGTCTGCCGACCACACTCCAGAAAACTTAATAAACTATAATTTTATTGATATGTACAATTTTATGTATTATTATATTTTATTTTTATGTATAATGATGTATAATTTTATTGGTATTTAAAGCTAGTGTAGAAGTATTTTAACGTAACATTTTATAGAAGTAAAAATGATTCAAACTCAAAGTTAAAAGTATTCACGAGTGGGTGTACTTGAAATTCAAACATATTTATAATGTACTAGGGGTCGTCCATGATCGAAAACTCGACCAAAATATGTACCTACAAACTTCTCAATTTTCACCCCATACGGTACATAAATAATGTGATTCGAATTTCTTCAATTTGTTTTGATTTTATGATTATATTTCGTTATTATTTCGCCACCAGTATGGCAACCCATAACACCCATGTTAATTTTTTCAAATTTTAAATTATTTTTTGTGCTTATTTTGAGCCTATTTATATTTAGAAAGGAATTCTGCACATCTACAGGAAAATATCTTTCTAACATAAGCAACGTAACCCAGATTTTCCCTGCTATGCACACGAGATGAGAAAAACGTTTTTCAATCAATATGATATCCTATTATTATATGATAAAATAAATACATTATAACATTAATTATATTATAGACATTATAAGTTAAGTAGACTAATAATTTTCCTTTCAAATTTAGTAAAAATTAATTTCGATTAAATTGTAAAGAGTGTAGTTTTTTGTACATTGTGAGAGAAAATCACTAAAGTAACTATTGAGTTATCCTAAAAACAATGTATTTTTGGACCTATTAAAATAAGTTTTTGTGCTGGTATTTAAAATTTCCAACCACAAATTCAGGAAAAGACTAGCGAAGGCATAATATGAAGTTTTCATGCGCGCCTTCCGTTTAGTAAACGCAACCTGTTGTCTGCTCTGTAGTGCCGACAGCTGTCATCTGTAGGCAGGCGCTCGGTTAATTCTATGAAAATACGACTAACTCTTAACCAAATTGACTGTAGCTTTATAAGTCGATCGTGGTTAGGTAAATGCCTAATTTGTAACGGAATGTTCTTATTATTAAATCACTTGTATCAGATTGTTCATTTTACATTGTAGACCACCAAATTACCATTAATTTTCATAGAAATTCATTATTTTCTTAAGTTTTGGTAAAATAGAAATATAGATCGATTTAAGTGTTTATTTAAACATTGATATTGCATAGTGTGGAATAATATCCTTTAAATTTAGAAAAAATATAAACTAGTTAAAAGTAATTTGTAAAACGTAACATTATGGACAACAAATTAGAACTATTCACATTTTTTACATGCAGCACAACTAAACAGCTGTATTCCCTGGGTTTCTCCGAATGAATGTGCGCTGTGCATAACAGCGTGCAAAGTGCATTCATCGGTAGAATGATCAGCGATAGTGAAACCGATATGCGGAACTGCATGGTACAGTAGCGCCTGCCATGCAACATTGCCCAATCTGTGCAAAGAAATGTATCTTGTAGAAGGTACACCGCAGCTTCATGTTACAAAATAATGCTGAACTGCATGGTAAGTACCGCCTGCCACCATAGATAAAAGGAGTGTCTATACTCCTTTTATCTATGCTGCCACGCAACATTGGCCAATCTGTGCAAAGAAATGTATCTCGTAGAAGGTACACCGCAGCTTCATGTTACAAAATAATGCTGAACTGCATGGTAAAGTACCGCCTGCCACGCAACATTGGTCAATCTGTGCAAAGAAATGTATATTGTAGAAGGTATATCTTTATACACCGCAGCTTCATGTTACAAAATAATGCTGAACTGCATGGTAAAATACAGCCTGCCACGCAACATTGGCCAATCTGTGCAAAGAAATGTATCTCATAGAAGGTATCTCTTTATACACCGCAGCTTCATGTTACAAAATAATGCTGAACTGCATGGTAAAATACAGCCTGCCACGCAACATTGGCCAATCTGTGCAAAGAAATGTATCTCATAGAAGGTATCTCTTTATACACCGCAGCTTCATGTTACAAAATAATGCTGAACTGCATGGTAAAATACAGCCTGCCACGCAACATTGGCCAATCTGTGCAAAGAAATGTATCTCATAGAAGGTATCTCTTTATACACCGCAGCTTCATGTTACAAAATAATGCTGAACTGCATGGTAAAATACAGCCTGCCACGCAACATTGGCCAATCTGTGCAAAGAAATGTATCTCATAGAAGGTATCTCTTTATACACCGCAGCTTCATGTTACAAAATAATGCTAAGCTGCATGGTAAAATAGTGCCTGCTATGCATATGCAACATTGACCAAACTGGGGAAGTAAATATCCAGCAGGTTTACTCAGAAATCCCTTAGTATCCCACAGTTGTCAAATATCCCGTTTTATACCCTGTCACTCAACATGGGCCAAAATAAAAAAAATCCCTCACGTTTACACAAAACTCCCGCTTTGTCCCTCAGTCTGGGCCAAAACCTCCTTTTAAATCCCACATCTTAAAAGAAACCGAACCTTTTTACACAGAATCAATTTCGATTGGTAGCTCCTGCCAACCAACATAGACGATAAAAAGAAACTAAAATTAGTATTAGAAAAATTACACAAAACCCCTGTTTATCAAACTTTACTTGAAAACAATTCCCTTTTAGAGAGGTGGCTGTGCTTTTATCCATCAGTGAGCACCGAAGCCACTCATAGTTGACGTAATTACTTTGATACTTAGCCATAATGAAGTTTTTTTTTTATGGAAAATCGTATAAATGTTTTACAAATTTAAACATCAAAATTACTTTTATCCCACAAGCTGTCAAAATATCCCATTACCGGGACAAAACCCTTACAAAGGGATACTTTGGCATTAGAAAGGTAACTCTCGTTTACTTGACGAGAGCTGCTACCTGTTGGCAAATAGCGGAACTACAACGATGGGAAGCGTTAAAAGTACAAACCACACATAAATTGAACCGTTGACACTCCTTGACTACGGATAAAGTTAGGTAGACATTCCATTACCATGTTAAAGTTGTATAGTGAAACAGTTATACAGGGTGTTTTTTTTAAACTTGCATCTTTATTTATGTAAAAACCACAATATAGAAATATGCAGTTTGCGGGAATCATCTATTAACGTAGGGGGCCCAATTGTTTTGAATTCTACGTTACATTCAAATAGCAAGGTACCCCTTGTCACATATCAAATGAAAGAGCATGAAAAAAGAAAATGTTTGATGAAAAAAAATTGAAAATCGGTTCATAAATTTGCGAGATATTTCCCCCTCCCCCTCCCCGGAACTTAATTTTTTAACAGCAAGGTAGCCTACCCCTTGTGACATATCGAATGAAAGAGCATGAAAAAAGAAAATGTTTGGTGTAATTTATTTTTCATTTGATATGTCACAAGGGCGGGTACCTTGCTATTAAAAAAAAGGTTATGGGTAGGGGAAAAGGGGGGGGGGATTATCTCACAAATTCATTAGCCGATTTTAAAATTTTTTTCACCAAAAATTTTCTTTTTTTATGCTCTTTCATTTGATATGTCACAAGGGGTACCTTGCTATTAAAAAAAATTAAGTTCCCGGGGTGGAGGGGGGGGGGAATATCTCACAAATTTATGAACCGATTTTCAATTTTGTTCATCTAACATTTTCTTTTTTCATGCTCTTTTATTTGATATGTCACAAGGGGTACCTTGCTATTTAAAAAAAATTAAGTTGGGGGCAGGGGGGAAAGGGGGGGGAATGTGAATGTAACGTTGAATTAAAAAAAAATTGTGCCCCCGACGTCAATAGATGATTCCCGCCAACTGCATATTTCTATCTATTGCGGTTTTTACATAAATAAAGATGCAAGATAAAAAAAAAACACCCTGTATAATTAACCCGTAGACAAAGTACTCTGATGTAATAATATTTTCTTACACATAATGAATCTTAATCTGAAAAGATAGCTTTTTGGTAATGAAAAACTCATATTGCATGAGCCATTAACAACATGTCATGCAAACACAAAAGGGATCTCTAATATTACCGCTAACAATAGAGTAATATAATATTCTATTCTATGAGAACCTGGTAAAAATATACCGCCAGGTAGTCTATACAGATGGGCTAAAAAAGTTTAAAGT